GTTTTTGGCTGGTCCTTGGCTGGTCCTTGGCTGGTCCTTGGCTGGTCTTTGGTTGGTCCTTGGCTAGTCTTTGGCTGGTTTTTGGCTGGTCCTTGGCTGGTCCTTGGCTGGTCCTTGGCTGGTCTTTGGTTGGTCCTTGGCTAGTCTTTGGCTGGACCTTGGCTGGTTTTTTCGCTGGTCTTGGCTGGTCTCCTACAATTCCTTTTTAAACATCTATCTCTGTACTAAAATATTGTTTCTGTCATTATTTGTGGACATTAAGATCTAAAAAAAAGCATCATCTACTGGTCAGTAATTCAGTGAAAGGGTGGAGTCAGAGTAAAACAATATGCAAGAGGGGGTCACTCCAATGGCTGGACGTTGGATGGGATTTTGTGGGAAGTGCAGGGAAGCAGGCTACCATTTGATTGGTGTTTGACTGGGAAGGGCCATTTTTAGATATTAAAGCACTACAATGCTTGTGTGTCTGTGTGTAATCCCCCCTGCTTTAAATATGACACCCTGTTCAAGAGTCCATGTTTAAGTAAGGGAACAGATTTGACACTGTCGATGTCTGTTGGGTTTCCTAAAAGGTATTCTTGTTTAGGTTACAACCATTTCATGACTGTCTACAATAGCAGCCATTCAAAATGGCCCTTCCCAGTCAAACACCAGTTGAATGGCAGCCCTCTTCCCTCTAACTCCCAGCAAAATCCCCTCCAATTTCCAACCACTGGAGTAACCCCCTCTTGGCATAATTTTTTACTCTGACTTCACCCTTTCACTGAATTACAGGGTGAGACCAGGAGATGATGTTTCTTTTTAGATGCTAATTTTTGCAAATCATGACAGAAAGAATATTTTCGGAAAAATGTTTAAAAAGGAATTGTAGGGGACCAGCCAAGGGCCCATCAAGGAAAATGGGGACATTTTGAATGGCTACTACTGGGATTTCAATGTGTTCTTAATTCTTGCAAAAGCAATAAAAATATTATATATTTTGTGTGTCTTAACATATATAATAAAAGTTGTATTAATCTAAAACTGTGTTTTAAAGAAACATATGGGATTATCATGTGTTTCACATTTTATTAGACTGTTATTAAATTTTAATAACAGATGGTTAAAAACAATCTAGACTCTTAAAAGCTTATAAAATCTTTAAGGTCGGCCAACAGGACATTCAGTTTCGAAAGACCGACTCAAAAATCTATCTAAAAAGAAAAACCAAACATGTCTTGAAATCTGCCAATGATATTCGTGTTTTGGCCCCTGTGATAACATCATTTGTGGGGCATGAATTGACCTGAATTTGGCAATTTGTATCACAATACATCGGTGACGATAGGATATAATTCACTACATTAATAAAGATGATATAATCCAGTGTTTTGATTACATGCCTCTGGAAACCCTCACTGGTTGTTGCTTTGCTTCACTACAGAGCAGGTGAATAACAGGCTCCTGGTGGTTCACTGCCAACTAGCTGTTAGGGGTTTAATTGTAAGTCACATCTGCTCGAGTCCTGCTCATGAAGTGACATTGCGCTACACGATTGACTGAATGTTGACACATGATGTAAAACATTGTGGTAATAACATAAGTATTCGTATAATGATAGAGTATATCTAGGGTTGCCAACTCCCTGAAAAAAAGGGACACCTCATGTGTGTGCCAGCTGACCTGACTGCCTTTACCCCTCGTGGTGTGGTGTGTTTTTTTTAGCTCCCCTTTATGTTAAATTCTTTTTTTTAACTATTTGACTCAAATCTGCATTGAATTAGATGCATATTTGTGAGTGACATGAAAATTATTATCCAGCAATTTAATACAAAATAACAAACTTTGCTGAATAAAATAAGTATCTTAGACATAAGCCTGTCCTGCTTAACTACAAACTGTAAAAATGATTATAGAAAAATATATAAATAGTTCACATTTTTGGTGCAATAGCAAACTTGTAAACATTTGTCGAAGGTTCACCACCCACAAAAGCAGCGTCAGCATTTAAATGACTCTGTTTGTCCCCCATATTACTCTGTTGTCTCCCGCTATCTTCTCCGTGAGCAACAATTGGCTCGACCAATGGGAAGAGGGGATTGTAGATCGTGACATATATGCTGTCAGCTCATTGGTCACAATTCAGGACAGGGCCCGGGAACAATTTTACCATAAGTTTTGTATCTAAGGTGCCCTTGTTCTTCATTTCCCATTATCTTTTTACAGACTACTTTTTTAATCTCGCAGTAATTCGGGACAAAGTGCGTTCCTTTTCCACTAAATAAGGGTACTTTTATTTCTAAATACGGAACAATTACGTTTTCTAAGGGACGGTTGGCAACCTTAAGTATATCATTATACTAAAGAGTCGAGAGCATCTGTAACGTTAGCGTGTCTAATAATCGATGAAATTTTACCTGATAGATAAAAAAACTGGGGAAAAAATTGTTCATGGTGAACAAAGTAACCGTTAGACCGTGATATAAAGGGGTAGCGCTGTAGCTAGCTGTGTTCAGTAGCTAACAGGTTAGCCTCTTTTAGCTCGGTCAGTTAACCGTATTACACTTTTGAATTCGTATCAACAACAACCGTTTGTTTTCTAAAAGTAGAACAACTGTTTGATTTGTCTAAAATCTCTACGGAAGTCATTTTTTTTTAAGATGTTCAATTTGTCCTTCCTGCCCTCAGATCTTAATAAAAAGAATAAAAATAAGCTGAGACTTTTTGTCACTGTGTTAAATGGCAGAGCTCTGTCTTAGAAAGCTGAACTTTCCTTCAAGACTGACAATGATTGTTTTTTACTTTCGGCTACTTTAGATCGCCAGTGAAACATAAAATAATACAAAATATAGGTAATAATATGTTGAGAACCCAATAGAGATTTGATTCTTAAGAAATAG